CCCCAAAACCCCAAAACCCCATGAGGAGAAATAATACGCAATATTGAAGATTGAGTTATTTCATTTATTAGCTAGCCAATAATATAATTTGTTTTTTTACTATCTTTATTTTAAGTATGAAATTATTTATAGATTAATTTGTGGCCTTGCAAATATTCCTTGAATGCAATATTTTTCAAAAGGGGCCTCTTTAGTGGCTTTGAATGAACTTATTGAGAAAAGATTTTAATACCTCTTTGTCATAATCAATCTCAATATCATGTGAACGTCTTTTATTTACATGCATCATCAATATTTGTCCAGTACTACCATGTTTCATTCTGATGTGATTTTTTAATTCAAATCTACGATAAAAACCTTTTAAGCAAATTTCACACTCGAAATCACTAAATAAGATAAAGCTATGATAACTTACGTCTTTTTTAATAGTCTGTTCTAATGGTCTATCAAATTTCCTCTTGTACTAAAGCTTAATCCACATTAATTGCATTTGAAAGGTTTTATACCTGAATGAAGTCAGGAATGCACAGTCAAGTTGCCTTTTTCTGAGAATCTTTTCAAACAAACATTGCATTAAAATCGCTTTGCCTTACGGTGAATGTTATTAATATGCTTTTAAAGGTTGTCTTTTCTAGTTACTTTCACATCACAATCTTTGCATTCAAAGATTTTTTCTTTTGTATTTCTTTTCTTTGCAAATGTATTTTTAGATTGAATCTCTTTATTTTTATAATATTTTTGCCTCTACTGCACTAAGAATTTATTGTTTTCAGTCTTACTCTAGTTACTGTCATTATTCAATGATTGTTAGATCTAATCTTCCAAAACGAAATTCTCATTAATTGAAGCAGATGTAGTCTAAATCTCTTTGCCGATTGAATCGAAGAAGTTTAAATCACTTGCTATCATCCCCTTCTGGTAGCTCAGCAGCTGGTTTTTTTGTTAGATAAAGATTTGCCTTTTCGCTCTTTGGCTGTTTGGTAATGATAATACTTAATTCTTATTAAAATTGATTTGGCTGTCTCAATATTTTTAAGCAGATGCAAAGCTTTCTTAGAATTATTATCCATGAGAGGTTTAAAAAGAGAAATCTTGCTATAAATTCTACCAGTTCAATTGATTGAAGATATTACTACTGAAAAGATTTTAACTGCTATACATTTCATTGTGTTCTTTAACATCTAAGAAATCATGCTTTTGGCTAGGATCAAGATTAGATCTTTTTGATTAAGATAGCTATTTTTCACAGATTTTTTGCTCGTCCTAGCTAAATATTGCTTATTTGCAGTGATTCAAACTTAAATCCAGATTTTAATAATTAATTTCTCGCATTTCAAGAAAATAGTCTAAAAGGTGAAGAGTAAATAATGAAATAGATTTTGATTTTATAACACTTGATTGACAATTTAAGCTTTTATAATGATTATGGGGTTTTGGGGTTTTGGGGTTTTGGGAGGCTT